CTTATTAAAGGTGGATCCTACCATTACTCACATGACATCCAGCACAGAGTCATTGCGAATGACCTTATGGGAGACATCAGCTAGCAAGAAGAGACCGCCATCTGTCCTCCGGATGCTAGCTGCATAGCCCGGCCAGATCTGCAATCTGAAGAGATAGATTAGCTTTACCTCAGGGTTTAAAAGAAGCACAGACACTTCCATGCCCCCATCTGAGATAATACTTGGACACTGTCCTTCCCCAGTAACAACGAGAAAGCACCAGGAAACAAATTCAATTAAATCAACATCACTGTGAACTGACTAAAATACTAAACTATAGAGGAGATTTAACTGGTAAATTGTATTCGCTATCATAAAATACTAAGATTTTTGTCCTTAATATGGTGATTTCAATGAAAAATTTCTTTCCAGCCCTGACCGGTTTGGCTCAGTGGATAGAGCGTTGGCCTGCAGACTGAAGGGTCCCAGGTTCAATTCTGGTCAAGGGCATGTACCTTGGTTGCGGGCACATCCCCAGTAGGGAGTGTGCAGGAGGCAGCTGATAGATGTTTCTCTCTCATCGATGTTTCTGACTATCTATCCCTTTCCCTTCCTCTCTGTAAAAAATCAATAAAATATATTTTTAAAAGAAAAGAAAAATTTCTTTCCAGACATTTACAAGTGAGGAAGAGGAAAACACCACCAACCTATGCTGCTGCAGTACCATAGCACTCGTCGGGTCATAGAAGTTTCTCCCCACAAGCTTCATATCTAAAAGTTTCATTACCCTGAAATAAAGAGCAAGAATGGGTTTTCTAGTAGAATAATCCAAAAAACTAAAGTCCATTACTTTTAGCTACATTTCCTTTGGAAGCCTAAAGGGTCCGAAATGTTGGTGTCCTTTGTACAATATAGCTTTTATCATGAGAACACTCTTGACAAAAGAATGAGAAAAATTACCGTGGCATTTATCTTGAGGTATATGTAACTGACTATAGCTTTTCCTAGTTACTAGGTAACCAAAAATTGAGTTGACTTTCCAGGCTCAACTTATATTATTAACTAAAAAGCAAGCAAGAGAGTCAGTTTCTAAATTTGTGACTATCAGTCTGGCAAAGAAAGTTATGTTTGTTCCTGGCAGTTCAGCTTACTAGACAGAAATTAGATTCCATGTTTCATTAAAAAAGAGGTGGTTTGGAAATAACATTATGAAAATTAGAGTGTTAAAGTTTAAAAATTATGAGCTGTCTACATCCAAAAATTCAAGGGACTGGGAAAAAAATTATTCCAGCAAAATCTTTACCACTACCTCTCCAAGTAGCCCCATCACTAATACCATTAAATATGCACTTTAAACACCCGTTTTTAAAGTTCCTGAGCCCATCCCGCATCCAATTAACTCAAACCTACTTTCACAAACCAAATCTGATAAATCACTAGAGATAACTTCTGAGTAACTTAGCCTGAGTATCATTCAACTCATCTACTGGTATATACACTTGTAGTGTAGTAGCATCTAAGCTTCTTGAAGAGCATTGTTACAAATACAAGACCGAGGTTAAGGAAAGTAAAACGGCAGGTGTTTTCTCACCGACGGAAAACAACATTGTAGAAGGGAATGCACAAGTCAGAGCAGGGCTCCAGGATCTTGGTCAACTGAATCTTAATGCTGATCTCCGCACCATCGGTTTTCCTTTGACTTTTTAACTCGAGAAACTAATGAATAAATATATGCAAGTAAAAAGTAATGATAAAACTACCAAGCCCTAACCTAACCCAGAAAACACTAAAATATCTTTTCTTAAAATATGAACTCTTAAACCATTCTTTGTCACTGAAATCAAAAGCTTCCTCCAACCACTCCTCTTATGTAAGAGACTTCTTGAAGAACATAAATGTAAAAGTTTCTCAGTTTGTCATTTCTTTGTTACAGAGAAGTTTAACTCCCCTCTAAGAATAGGAAAGTACAACTCAAATATTCAGGAAGTTTATCATTTGCCACCATTCAAAGCACCAGAACACTCTCAGGTCTCACTTGTTGAAGCTTAACAGGTAAATAGAGAATGGATCCATCAAAAGCAGTGATGTTTCCAGTGACAGCTTGATGGTCCTTCAACATGCCAAACTTCATGCTTTTGCACTCCACGTTGGGGCTAGAAAATAATAAAGAGGATTTTATTTTAATTTGATTAAAACAGATGTGTGACTACTGCTCCATCTAGTGGTGATACTAAAATTTCAAATACTCTATGTGACTAAAAAAGAACTTTGACCCAAGGATACTTGCTCACAAAAAATAAAAACCACTAATTCCACCCACCAGAGACAAATGCCTTAGCATAGGATACATTCTTAGTATACATTCTTCCAGAGTTTAGACCACAGAGTCAAAAAACTTACAGTGTAAAGGGTCAGATAGTAAATATTTTAGGCTTTACTGGCCATATGGTCTCTGCTACAACTACTCAACTCTGCCAATATAGCAAAAAAGCTCTGTAAACCAATAAGTATGGCTACATTCCAGCAAAACTTTATTATGGAATTTTACTCTAACCTTTTTTAACTCATGGAAATTTCAACTTTTTATTGATTCATTACCACAAATCTTAGTTATAAAAACTCTAGTAGCTCCTTTGTACTATGATTATCCCATTACCTTACAATAATACAAAACCTTGTTCTATAACTGCGAAGTTTAAAGAAATCCAAGGCTTGAAAGAGTCAAGCATATTCAAGAACATGAATAAAGATTAAAAGTGGTAATCCAATATAATTGTCCCCAAAACCAAATACTCACATGCTAACATTATATTTCAAAATGCTTCTTTAAAAAAGTCATATACATGCATTTATATGAATATAGTATTCAAAGATGTCATTCTAGACTCCCTATAGTACAAGGAAGATACAGTACGATCAGTCCACTGTAACACATCCGCTCAGTATTCTCTCAGTAGCCTGGCATCCTCTTCACATTGTAACCTCAAAGGTCCAGATCTACAATCTCTAAATGTATAGAATCCATGTCTTCTCCTGGTCAATGCAGAGACCTGTAAAGACTCTTATACTCTTTTCTGTTTCATTAACATTTGTCAATCCATTTCCAGATAAAAGGTTCTTCTCTCTTGTTAATGCTCAACTCCTTCCCTTACTTGCAGAACAGGCCCATTCCCATTCCCTTCCACTCTCCAACGATCAATTTCACCCTCTTTTCTAGATACTTCTCTTCCCCTGTCATATGTGCTCAGCTCTGCTTTCTTATCTCATAGAAATCTGTAAAGCAATCAATTTCCCATTCCTCTACAGACCTTTAAAATAATGGCCAATTTATTGGCTATTCCTATGCTCTCCTTTGTTGTTCTTTTTTTTTTAAATGTATTTTATTGATCTTTTACAGAGAGGAAGGGAGAGGAATAGAGAGTTAGAAACATCGATGAGAGAGAAACATCGATCAGCTGCCTCCTGCATACTCCCTACTGGGGATGTGTCCGCAACCAAGGTACATGCCCTTAACTGGAATCGAACCTGGGACCCTTCAGTCCGCAGGCCAACGCTCTATCCACTGAGCCAAACCGGTTAGGGCTCTCCTTTGTTCTTTTAGTCTAGTTTTTTCTTTATAACTTTAACAAAGGGCTAGAAGATTACCAAGGGTGCTCTTAGAAGCAAATTTAATAACTTTTTTTCTGTAGCCAAAGTCAACTACCTGTTCTCCATTCAAATGGCCCTACCTTTGGTCTTTATAACCTGTATTCAGGGTATTTTTCCCTAACTTCCTTGCTTCTCTTTCACTCCACTTCTTCCTCTTGTACCAATTAGTAATTGTCCTTCAAAAATCAGTCTTCCATCTCCCTAGTTTCTCCACAGATATTCCAAAACGCTCATTTTCACAATTCCAGCTAATAACCTCTAGCTAATATGAATTTTTTAATTTTAAAAAAGTATGTTCAGTCTAAAGTTACTGATATAACATTAAAGTTATTTTTTCTGATTTTTCTCACCCTCAAATTTAACCCTAGACTGTCACTGGAGAGCTGTCAATTTTTTTCCCCCCAAATATTTCTTTATTGATTTCAGAGAGGAAGAGATGGGAGAGATAGAAACATTAATGATGAGAGAGAATCATTGATCAGCTGCCTCCTGCACACCCCCTACTGAGGAACGAGCCCACAACCCTGGCATGTGCCCTTGGCTGGAATTGAACCTGGAACTCTTCAGGTTCTATCCACTAAAAGAGGGAATCTTTAAGAAGAGGAATTACAGATATAAAATAACAGATACAAAATAAGTTAAAAGGTCTGGAAGGGGGTTTATATAAGTACAAGGCCCTGAACTTAAGCTTCATTAACCTCACAGTAAATCACCTCTAATCTCATGCATAAAACTGCACCTATTAAGTTAAAGTCTGAATTGGTAATATAAATAAACTAGGGGCCCGGTGCACGAAATTTGTGCACTGGGGGGGGGGCCCTCAGCCCAGCCTGCCCCTCTCACATACTGGGAGCCCTCAGGCGTTGACCCCCATCACCCTCCAATCGCAGGATCGGCCCCTTGCCCAGGCCTGATGCCTCTGACAGAGGTGTCAGGTCTGGGCAGGGGACCCTCATTTCCCCCCATCACTGGTTCTGCCCCCAGCCCAGGCCTGATGCCTCTGGCCCAGGCATCAGGCCTGGGCAGGGGACCCACAGACCCCTCCAATTGCTGGCTCTGCCCTCGGCCCAGGCCTGATGCCTCGGCCAGAGGTGTAGACCCCCATCCCCCTCCGATCGCCTGA